CTCCAACACATGAGTATGTGGTTCCAAGATCGATTCCGATTGCCGGCCATTCGCCTCCTTTCCCCTCCATACCTTAATTAATCAATTAAATCTAAAGACAGACATGTATTGTTAATACGAAATTGATGGCAAAATTTATCTTAATATTGTTGGGAAAAATGCACACACAAAACAACATTCACAATCACAAAGCAGAAGCTTAACGACCTCATTTCTCAAATGCGATACTAAATGGGCAAACACAACCAATCTCAAGCAAACAAATTAAAAAGACATTCGTGGAAACTCCAATAGACAGGGAGAAAAATACAATACATGAACAAGTGGGTATACCAAATACCAATTTATCTTCTTTAACAAACACTAGAAGCATATAAAAATCATCAAGATACAATCTTGGAACCATAAAATTCATCACAAATAAGTGGCAAAATAAATTAAGGCTGAGCATAAAATACCGACTTCCAATAGTTGGATATTGATATGTAGGTTGGAATGACAGGAGCTTTGTGTTGAAACTTGGCGTCGATCGGGTTCATTCGGAACTCTAACAGATGGCTGTATTGCTGGACTGAAACCGCTCAAGAACTCAATTTCACCACTCCCTGCCTTTTCTCTTCTATTTTGTGAGTGGGTTTTGCTGCTTCCTGAGGAAGTTTCTAGCAGCTCTCCTTAGTCCTTAATTCCTTCAGCATGATTTCCTTTTGGTCCTATTAGAATAGACCCATTTCAGAAGGGCCCAATTATGCATATGCACATTTTGAATGTACAATTGAAATTGCAAAAAGTCTATCATGTTGTGTAATATAAAGAAAAGAAAAGAAAGTGGTACCATTAAATAATCTAAAAAACATACAGTAAATTATGAGCTGTTGCAAGATTACCTTGTCTTAGAAACATCAATCACGAAAGCATAAAACATTGTTCTAATAAACCTGCAAAATATTTAATTTTTTACAAAAGGACTGCAGTAGATCAGCACTAGCAAATTGGATGTGGTGAAGAATCAGTTCAGAACAATAAGCAAATCTTTAATTGAGTTAATTGCATAATAGGACTATCTAGGCATACTACATTCGAATTAGATATCAGACCGGCTCAATTTTGGTGCCGTTTACTCCAACATCAGCTACATTCTTCTGCATTTCAGCAATGACAGGGTTGCAAATGCTTTTGATTCCTTCAACTTCTCCTCAAACTTAGAAGCTTCAGTAAGATGGAAATTCCAGTCCAACCATTGAATAGTCTGTTGAATGATATCTTCCATTGTCTTCCCTTGTATTATGACTTTTTCTCCAGAGTTACCACTCACTATACCCCAAATCTTGGTGAGATAGTTCTCTAATTCAGATTTAACTCTTGCCAATTTCTTGTGTTGTGTACCTTTGGCCCTGTACTTCTTAGCCTCCTCCACCATCCTATCTATTTCCTTCTTTGATAGCCTCTCACTGTGATTGGTAATGGTGATGTGGTTATTATTTCCAGTGCTTTGGTCCGATGATGTCACGGTTAAGATGCCATTGGCAACAATGCTGTAGCAATCAATTACCTGTGAAACACCTTTTGGTGCTGGGGGTATGCCATAGAGTGTAAACTTACCCAAAAAGTTGTTCTCCTTAGCAATTTGTCGTTCACCCTCGTACACACAAGTAACCATACTGGTCTGGTTGTCACAAACAGTAATATATGTCTTCTCCAATCTCCATCTTTGTTGGAATAGGTGTATTCCTAGGAATCACAACACTCATTTCACCATTAACAACTTTAGTACCAATTGATAAGGGAGTGACATCCACAAGCACAACCTGCTGATTATGCCTCACACCACTCAAGATTGCAGCATGAATGGCTGCCCCATATGCAACAGCCTCATCTTGGTTAAGGCTTTTGCTGAGCTCCTTTCCATTAAAAAAATCTTGCAACATTTTTTGAACCTTAGAGATGCGAGTTGACCCACCCACAATAACAAAGTCATTGATATCACTCTTTTCCATCTTGCCATCCTTCAAACACTTTTCAACAATGCCCATGCAATCCCTAAATAAATCCATATTCAATAATTCAAATCGAGCCCGGGAAATGGTAGAAGAGAAATCAGTACCCTCATAGACCTCATAGAGGCAATCTACTTCAATAGTAGTCTCTGTGGTTGATGTGAGCGTTCCCTAAACTCTCTCACATGCAGAATTCAACCTCACAAGAGCTCTAGGGTTCCCACTAATGTCCTTATTGTGCTTCCTCTTAAACTCACTCACAAAATAATTCACCATTCTGTTGTCAAAATCTGTACCACCAAGGTGAGTGTTCCCACTTACAGCTTTAACTTCAAATAGACCTTTTCCCAAAAGCACCAAAGAAACATCAAAAGTCCCGCCACCAAGATCAAACACCAATACATTCCTTATAGCATGCTTTTGATTAACAGCCTTCTTCTCAAGACCGTAGGCAATGGCAGCAGCTGTTGGTTCATCTATAATACGCATGACTTGAAGTCCAGCAAGAGTAGCAGCATCTTTAGTTGCCTGACGTTGAGAATCATTGAAACACGCAGGAACAGTAACGACAGCATTCTGAACATCTGAGCCAAGATATGCCTCTGCAGTTTTTTTCATCTTCATTAAGATCATAGAGGATATCTGTTCAGGAGCAAATTGCTTTTCTTCACCCTTAAACGTGACCGCAATTGCAGGTTTACTGTCTTTATGAGGCCAGGAAAGAACCTTGAAGGGCCAGAGTTTAATATCACTCTGTACTGTTTCACCAGTGAATCTTCTGCCAATTAGCCTCTTAGCAACTGTTATCAATGAGCAAAGATGAAAGCATAAAATTCGAGGAGGTTTTGATAAATGCATGTAGATTATACTAGGGTAGTGTAATCTAGCTAAATATGTACCAGATTTTAAAGAATATCAAAGGAAACAACAAATCACTAAACCAGACAGCTAGAGTTTTTGATAATGTAAATACAAAGTGTATTATCATTCAAACAATCAGAGTTTAATTGATTAACGCCCAATTTTCTTCCATAGGGTCATTTAACACGCCTAGCATACTCAGATATGACCTGAATAGTATACCGTGCATAGAGTAAGACTCCATAGCAAATACTTCGTATTTAACATCAATCCATTAGGCAGTGTTGTTCTCTAGACCCGAATGCATTTAAAATGAAGCTTTAATGTTATTGAATACTCCATAACAAAGGTGCATAACGTTCAAAAGACTTTGGTTGGAGACTTGAGTATAGTCTTGATAAACGGACAACCCTATCATTCGTTCTTTGTTTATGCTGCACAACATTAGTTATTATACTTCATAATGCTCATACTTCCTCCATTTCACAAAATGGTTACACTTAAATTTTAGCTATCTCCCCTGCACCCTTTTGAGTTTGCTAATATTTAGTGACATTATATTAATACTTTGTAATAAAAATCAAAGTATTACAAACGAATTAAACAAGAACCCGCATAATTATTGTAAATTGGATCAACAAAACTGGCAGTAAATCATACAAAAGTAACAAAACGTTAGTATAACATGCTTGTTAAACCCTAGATCACATAAAATCGAATCATTGCAAAATTATAAACAAAAGAAAATGTATACAAATTTTAACCCCGAAATATAAAGAGAACTATATAAAAATTTTAGACCACATTTGACTTAATTTGACCATGTTGGACAAAATTTGACCTAATTCCATAAAATTAGTCCGAATTGATTAGAAAAAATAAATCAAATATGAGTCCAAAATAAACTAAATTAAACTTGCATGCACCAAAATAATTCCAAATTAGAGAATAATTTTGACAAAATTAGAGGGAGTAGAGAGAAAACCGTAAATGGTATTTGTAGAATTTGCAGCAGCCTGATTTTTGGCAACTTCACCAATAAGGCACTCAGCTGAGGTGTCGGTGTCGGACACGTCCGTGCACCTAGCTGAGGTGTCCGTGTCGACACGCGTGTCCGACACCGACACGGGTGGGACACGGTGCGATACGTGTCCGACACTTCAAAATCCGTGTCCCTTTTTTTTTAAAAAAAATACGTCATGGACACAGACCGTGTCTCCCTATGACACGGCCCGTTTTATTTTGGACACGCCCTTTTGTTATTCCAGCCCAACTCCCTCAGTTTCTTTTTTCTCAAACCCTACTGCTTTCAATCTTCCTCTTCACGAGTTCACTCTACCTCAACCTTCTCGAACCCAAATCGCCGCCGACTGAAGTCGCCTGACCGTCGCCCACCGTCCACCGTCACAGTGTCAGTCGTCGGCTCGTCGCTCGTCGCAAGTCCTCAGTCATCACGAAACCTGGCCACTTTAATACTCTATTCCTTCAATCCTTCGTCGACTCGCCGTCAGCCCGTCACTCGTCGCTCGTCGCCGCCGTCCAGGCGTCACTCTCGCCGGTGCTCTCAGCCTTTTCACTTTCTCAGGTATTCCTCTCAATCTCTCATTCTCGTTTTAAATTTTTAATTTGATTTCATTCCTTCACGATTTGCTTAAATTGGCTAATTTCAGTAATTTGTATCATGGTTTTGTGGTTCAATTACTTCAATATTCTGTTCTAGATTAAGGGATATGTAGTGTTTTATCTTTTTGGATAACTTTATGGTTTTCGTTTTTGTTATTTGTTTACCCCTTTTGAGTTTTGACCATTTTTGGGTTTAAAAACTTGCTTTCAGTTAGTCTAAACTTTTGTGCATTTTTGTGATTTTTGTGATCATTTAGTCTAAACTTTATGCTTGCCCTTCAACTGCTGCATTAGTGCATTGATATATATGCTGTGTATGTTAGTGCCCATTGTTTTGGAGAAATAATATGCATGTGGATACTGGATATATAAATGAAACAGTACTCTATATTTCTAACATTTACACTATAAACTTATACATATAACACATGTGCATTGTGTAATTTGATTGTGTTGTTTGAGCTAAACTGGAAATGTTTGATTTGCTGAAAATGTGTTGTTGTCTTGTTGAAATTGTCAGGAATGTCTTCTAGTGGTTCTAGTGCCTCTGCTTCGTGCAATGTTAGTGGTAGTAGTAATTCATCTGAGTCTAATAAGGACCCCTACCCTTTGTGGAAGTTTGTTGTTAAGGGTGATAAAATATCGGGTGGTGGAGGAAATTATAATTGGAAATGTAACTTTTGTGGTGAAGTTAAAAATGGTTCATACACTAGAGTGAAAGCTCATTTGCTATGTGAAACAGGGAAAGGGATTCAAACTTGTAATAAAGTGAATATTGATGACCTTGCTAAACTAAGAAAACTTCATCGTGAATCTGAGGATTTTAAAAAATCTTTGTTACCAAAAGTTCCACCTTTTTCAAATGAACCCATATCTTCTCACACATCAACTGAAGCTACATCAGTTAGACTAGGTTCATCTGATAATGTTAAGAAGAGGAAATCAAACAATACAATTTCTAATGCTTTTAATATGAAATCTCGTGACCAGTTGGATTCTGAAATTGCTAGGATGTTTTACACAAGGGGGTTGCCTTTTAATCTTGCTAGAAACCCTTACTATGTTAGTTCATATACCATTGCTGCCAATTCTAATCTCTCTGGTTATAAGCCTCCTAGATACAACAAACTTAGAACAACTTTGCTTTGTAAAGAGAAAGAAAACGTGGATAGGTTATTGCAACCTATTAAAGCCACATGGAAAACAAAGGGTGTTAGCATTGTTAGTGATGGGTGGAGTGATCCACAAAGAAGGCCTTTGATTAACATTATGATTGCTTCCGAAACGGGTCCTATGTTTATGAAAGCTATTGATTGCTCGGGTGAGATTAAGGACAAAGATTTCATTGCTACCTTATTAAGTGAGGTGATTGATGAAATTGGAGATCAAAATGTTGTTCAAATAATCACAGATAATGCAAGTAATTGTAAGGCTGCAGGGGAATTGGTTGAGGGTAGGTATCCTCATATATATTGGACACCATGTGTTGTTCATACACTTAATCTTGCAATGAAAAGCATTTGTGCAGCTAAGAATGTGTTGAATAATGTTGAAGTGTATGATGAATGTCATTGGATAACGGAAGTTCATGCAGATGCCTTGTTCATTAAAAATTACATAATGAATCATTCAATGAGGCTTTCAATGTTCAATAAGTTTTCTCCATTAAAACTACTTTGCATTGCCGATACTCGTTTTGCTTCTATTGTGTGCATGCTTAAAAGGTTGAAACTCCTTAAAACATCACTTCAATCAATGGTTATTAGTGAGAATTGGTCCTTATACAAGGATGATCGACGCGGGCAAGCCTCACATGTAAGGGAAAAGATTTTGGATGAAATATGGTGGGACAAAGTTGATTACATTCTTGACTTCACACGCCCAATCTATGATATGATCAGGGTTTGTGACACCGACAAATCTTCATTGCATTTGGTTTATGAAAGATGGGATATTATGGTTCAAGGGGTGAAAGATGCCATCTACAAGAAAGAGGGTAAACAAGATTATGAACAATCTACCTTCTTTAATGTAGTTAAAGGGATTCTTAGTAGTCGTTGGAGTAAGGGTAGTACTCCACTCCATTCATTAGCACATTCTTTGAATCCAAGGTAAATTTTGCTTGTTTAATTCATTTTTATTATCTTTATTTATTTTTTCTTGTTTTTTTTTTTTATTTCTTATGGCTAATCTTATTTTGTTGTTAAAGATTTTACACGGAAGAATGGCTTAATGAGGTCCCAGGACGAGTTGCTCCAAGTGCCGACAATGAAATTTCCACACAAAGATTACAATGTTTTTCGAAGGCTTTTCCAAAGTCCCGATGAAAGATTCAAGATCAACACGGAATTTGCTATATTTTCCCAAAAATCGGAGGGGATCTTTCTCAACATTGATTGCATGTATGATATGGCTTTGATGGATGCTAAAAATTGGTGGGCAACTTATGGTTCTCAAGTGCCTATGCTTCAAAATTTGGCTTATAAGCTATTAGGTCAACCTTCTTCCTCTTCTTGTAGTGAAAGGAATTGGAGCACCTATAAGTTTATTCATTCTTGTACTAGAAATAAGTTTACTCCTAAACGTGCTCAAGACTTGGTATACATTCATAACAACCTTCGATTACTTTCTAGGAGAAGTGAAGAGTACACTAAGGGGAGATCTAAGTTGTGGGATGTGGGTGGGGATGAACATGACAACCTAGGAGAGGTTGGTATTCTAGAGATGGCCGAGCTCTCACTTGATGAACCCGAGATGGAAAGTATGATTTTTGATGATGTACTTGATGGTAAAGAATGAAACTATTAGTACTTATGTTTATTTTATTTATGATTTGTAAAACTACTTAATATTAAGACATGTATTTGGTTTGATGGTTTCTTCCTATGTATGCGACTATATTCGTACACTTTGTTTATTTACTTTGTTTAAACAGATTTGTGTGTTTTGAGGCTAAATTTTTAGTGTTTTATTGAACAGGTTGTCAAATTCTCGTTTTTTGGATATATTATGTCTTGTTATATGCCGTACCCGTGTCCCCTATTTTTAGGATTGCCGTTTTCCCGTGTCCATATCGTGTCCGTGTCCGTATCCGTGCAACATATTAACACACTATTTAAAAGAGTTTGGTTGCACATTTAAAAAAAAAAATTAGGGAGTCTTAAATATATTTGAATCCATAGTGCTTTATACATGGATTGTACAAGATTATAACTCATCACCACAAAGTTAAAAATTAAAAGGCTAACTAATACTTTACAGTCATATACATTTTATTATACTTTGTATAGTTTAAAATCAATCAATAATCTATGTACTTCGTATAAATTAAAATTCAAGCTAAAAGTTTAATTACGAAGTGACATGTCACTCTATATCATTATCAGTATTATAATCATCAGTTTGAACATCAATGGAAACCCCTACAAAGGCTGATAATAGAAACCAAGAAAAAGAAAAAGAGATGAAAGAAAAGAGAGAAGATGAGTGGAAGAAAATCTTTATAAAAAAAACAGAAAAACTTAGCAACAAGGTTAAAAAAACATTTCCAACGGAGAAACCCTAAGGAAAACAGAAAAATACTCAAAAGGATGAAAAAAAAATGTAGGTAGCTATTTATATATCCCTAATTGTTGTCCCTTTTACAACATTAGTATCATACTATCATTGGGTAAAAAGTACTTATTAATAACTATCATTGGGTAAAAAGTACATATATCATTTTTGTACACGTGTCATTATCTCATAAAAAAAAATTTATTTATAATTATTATGGCATCATTTTTTTTTTTAAATTCGGTATCTTTTGTCTTTCTTATTTCAAAGGTTGGGAAGTTAATTCCTCTAAAATAATACTCGTAAATGTGAAAATACCAATAAACCGAATATTTTTATATATTTATTTTTTTTATTTTGGGATCCCAATTTGTTGCAAAACCAACTACTCCGTACAAAGTAAATTATAAAGTACTCCCTAGTATATTATAGGAAAAAGTTTATTTTTTTTATTCTAAATCGTGCCATCTAGTAATTTCCTACCCACATACTTCATCCTCGAGACGTTGACCATAATTATATAAACGTTGACAAAATACAATGAGAATTGGCCTGTGGTGTTTTTTTTTTTTTTTTTTTAATAAAAAAAAACGATTAATTATGATCTATCTTGCAGTATTGAGCAAAGAAGGCAGTTGAAGTAGCTATTGTCAACTTCACCTCTGAAGAAGTGAAGAATAGTCTGTTGTAAGAGAAAGGGATTATTATTTGCCACGTTCAAACATGGCGACATATCCCCCCACTTGCCCACTATTCAAAAAATAATTCAGCTATCAAAATCCTTGAAAGCGCTAAAAAACCATGGAAATACTCAGAAATGTAGTACAAAGCCCAGAGAGCTCAAACCACGATTCACGGTTTACGAACGGACGAACCGCCGATCGAATAGACGCTTGGACGCCGGCGAACGACGACCATCCACCCCTAAATTACAAGGTTAGCTCTAACCCCAATTCCCAATTCTTAATAAAAAAAAGTCAGTTTTTTTTTTTCATCTTTAATTTGATCCATTGGTAGAGTTGTTAACTCTTAATTGTTTATGTTTTGTTGAGTTGTTTTGATTTGGATTGTACTTGATATTTGTATGATAGGGTTATACCTAATTGAATAATTGATTCATAATTTTCAATTTAATTGGAATATCTTAAATCATTCAACTTATTCAAACAAATGCAAGCCAATATAAAAACAACCTGATTTTTGACTTTTTTTTTTTTTTGGTTTAAATGAGTGAAATCCCAAGGAAAGACCTCTTTCACTTAGTTTTCAAAGTCAAGAAGATGATATGGAAATAGTTGGTACAAGCAGTAGCAATGTACCACCGGAAGAGGAATAATTGATATATGATGTTGAACTTCTTTTCGTTATCCAAGAAAAAAATTTGAAAGTCATGGCTATGATTACAAAAGCCTTAAAACTAAAATTCTTATTAACTAAGACAGAAGAGTGGTTAAAACTGGTAGTATAACATCGGTTATATATAACTAACTAATAACATCGGTTAATCTCTCTTAATGATTTATATGGTCTTCATTCAAATTATTTTGTTGAATTCTTCATGTTGCCTAGCTAGCTTTCTTCTTATGTAATCCATCCGATCTTTTTTTGGATAGAGTTAAAAATCAATCATAAGTTTCAACCATAAGCTTAAACTTTTGATTAACATATTCATTTGACATTATCAAGAGCCAATGTAATGTTGCATGATAGAAAATCTAATCATAAGCTTCAATCATCAATTTAAACTTTTAGTTGAGTTGGTCCTTTCACATTTTTGTTCTTCCAATTTAGAATGTTTTTGTCCTTTGGCTGTGTTTGTTAACTTAGCTTTGATATATTTTTATCAAACATAGCTGCTGTAATAAGAGCATAGAACGAAAATGAGCAAGAATGGAAAAGATTTAGAGACAGCTATAGGAATCGATCTTGGGACAACATACTCTTGTGCTGCAGTTTGGGAGCATAATCACGTTGAGATCATTGTTAATGACCAGGGCAACCGTACGACACCGTCTTGTGTAGCCTTCACAGAGAGCCATCGCCTCATTGGCGAGGCTGCTAAGAACCAGGCAGTACTTAATCCTACTAATACAATCTATGGTAATCTCTCTGCTACAAACTCCATTAACTCCATTTTAGCATTTTGCATGCTTTGTATTGTTTTTGTTTGACTTTGTTTGATTTTTTATTTTTTTTATGTTTTGGATTCACTACAAGAAAACATAGGATTACCAATGGGCTTTGAATTGTTTTTGTTTGGTATTTTTTGATGTTTTGTATTCACTATAATCTCACAGTTCAAAATTAAAGCCTAGCGCAATTATCGAGTAGAACTCATGTTGTGTACATGTATATGATGCAGATGCAAAGAGGCTTATTGGTAAGAGATTTACAGATGAAACAGTACAAAATGACATAAAACTCTGGCCATTCAAGATTATTGACTCGAACAATGACGAGAATAAACCTTTGATTGTTGTCACTTACAAGGATCAACAAAAGCAATTTGCTGCAGAAGAGATAGCTTCAATGGTTCTTTTGAAAATGAAACAGACCGCGGAAACTTATCTTGGGTCAGAAGTAAAAAATGCAGTTATCACTGTTCCTGCACACTTCAATGACTCCCAGCGTCAAGCAACCATAGATGCAGGCACCATTGCTGGGCTCAATGTCATGCGCATTATCAATGAGCCAACAGCTGCCGCCATTGCTTATGGCCTTGATAAAATGCATACTGACCGCAAAGAGGCAGCCAAGAATGTGCTAGTTTTCGATCTTGGTGGGGGAACTTTTGATGTTTCATTGGTCCGTATTAATTATGGTATATTTGAAGTGAAAGGAGTAACTGGGAATACCCACCTTGGTGGAAGTGATTTCAACAATAAAATGATGAGCCACTTTGTTGCTGAGTTTAAGAGGAAACACAAAAGGGACATTAGCGAAAATTCTAAGGCACTTGGGAAGCTGAGAGATGCTTGTGAAAAAGCAAAAAGGATGCTCTCTTCAATTTCTGAGGCAACTATTTCTATCGATTCTCTCTACGACGGTATTGATTTTCACTCAACCATTTCCCGCTCCAAATTTGAAAGATTGAATAATGCTTTCTTCACAAGCTGTATTGATTCCATTGAGCAATGTTTGAGTGAAACTGGTATGAGAAGTGAAGATATTGATGATGTTGTCCTTGTTGGTGGGTCCAGTAGGATCCCAAAGGTTCAAGAAATGCTGAAAGATTTCTTCAATGGGAAAGAGCTCTGCAAAAGCATTAACCCGGATGAGGCTGTTGCACATGGTGCTGCAATTCAAGCTTCGATCTTGAGTGGTGTACGTAACAATGAAGACTTCTTTCTATTAGATGTCACTCCTTTGTCTCTTGGAGTTGAGCTTCATAGTGGTGAGATGAGCATTTTCATCCCAAGAAATTCTACCATTCCAGTGAAAAAGTCAGATTATATCTGTACTGCAGTCGATTATCAGACATCGATTAGGTTTCCTGTATATGAGGGTGAAAGACCCATGGCCGTAGACAACAACTTCTTAGGTACATTTACTGTGGCCAATATCCCTCCAGCCCTAAGAGGTAAACATATGTTTGACGTCTGCTTTGAAATCGATAATAATGGTATCCTGACCGTGTCATCACAGCATATAGGCACTAACAACAAAAGGCAAATCACTATTACAAATCACAGTAGTAGGTTATCTAAAGAAGAGATTGATCGAATGCTGAAAGATGCTAAGAAGTACAAGGCGGAGGATGATGAGTACGAAAAAGCTCAAAAGGTCAAGCTTGAACTGCAGAAATATACTGATAATATGTGGGATATGATAAAAAGGGGCGGAAAGCATATAGTAAAGAATGCTACAGAGATGGTTGTTGAGGAAGCCATTGATCAAACAATTCAGTGGCTTGATGATGGGAATTTCAATATAAGTGAGGCTTGTGAATTTCAGGAAAAATTGGATCAACTTCAGAGCATTTGTGATCCTTTTATATCTCAGTTTTCCTTCTAAAGCTGCTGATATTTCATGATTTCTAAAAAGCTTCATCACTGACGTACTTACTCTGCAAAATTTTATGTTGTTTAATAAAAATATTGTAATGTTCCTGTAATCTCTTTTGATTGTGATTGACAATTCAATACGGAGTAACTCCTAAGTTGATCTACATAAGCTCCAATGCTATAGCAAAATCATTATTATTGTACGATGATATAAAGGTTAAATAAGTTCTAATTACTATGGTTAATCTCGTTCCAATCAATCATAAGACAACTTATGTACTCGATCTCATAGTCTCATATATATGCTCACTATGCCACGAAGACAAGCTAAGGTGTAGAGCCGAGTTTAGAAGGGCTCGTCATTGAAAAAGGATTCCACTTTTCGTGAGTAGATTTGATCCATGTTGAATAGGCGTAGCTGAAAAGAAAACAAAAGGAAATGATATTAGATTAATGGTATAAGAATTCAATGTTCAAAATATTACAACTCATCAAAATTCATACATGGGTGTGGGCTTCGGAAAGGAGTTCGCCATGGTGTCTCTCCTCCCATATAGAACGCAAAGGTGTACGACGATGCAAAGGTGTTTCTCCTCCGGCCACAATGTCTACTTAACTAATTTAATGCACATCAAAACAATCATCTTTACAGTTAACTTGCGACACGAATGGTTGGGGGGCGGTTTACCGGCGTGGGGGGGAGTGGGGGAGGTTTTTGGGGGTGGGAGAAGGGATGGAAGGTTTCGAGGGTTGGGGTGGGGGCGGCCAGCTGGCTTCAGAGAGTTCGAGTGGGGCGGCAGGCCGGTTTCATGGCTTGGGGTGGTCGCCCAGTAGGGGAAGTTGGTTGGGGTGAGGGGTGGGGTTCTTGCGACATGTGATGACATTTTAAAAAAAAAATCTTTTAGCAGGTGATTGGTCACAAAGGCTAATAAAAGAAAACACATTCCAAAATTGGGACAATTTTGCAATGGCTACAATAATTTTGTAGCCATTTTAACTTTATAATCATGACCATTCATTTGTAATACTAAATCTACACCATTCACTAAGACCAAAAAAATTAAGTTGACCATTAGATATTTTAAATATTGTACCTTAAGCAGATCTTCTTTGGCTCTTTCATTCCCTCTATCTTCATGAAACTCGATATCCTCTCATTTCTAATTCAGGGCTTTAAGCTATTTACATGGCTAATTAGCGAGTCATTTTCATCTTTATTTTATTTGTCGGTGTAATGGGCATTCTTAATTTATTAGTGTAAAAAGTTCTTTAATTAACATGATATCTTAATTTGCAAATTGCAATAGGCATTCTTCATCACTGAATATGTATTATTTCAAGCTTTTTGCAATGGTGAAAGTAAAATCCATTTTCAGATTTTCTTTATCCCAGAAATGAAATAGATGCTGTACTATTGAAAAAATTTAAAAAATTGAATTTTTTTTACATGAAATATGATCTTGATTTACTTGAGCCCACATCTTGGTGAATTAGTAAAATAAAGCAACTTGATCACCATGAAAATGATATGAATATTTGACAGTACAGACTTCTACCATTTTTCTACGAAGAAAGCAGTTACGGAGTTTTTTTTTTTTAAAGGAAAAATTGTTAGGAACTACTCGCTTAACAGGTCAATTTGTGAACAACTACTCGCTAAAAAGTTTTATCAAAAAAATACCCCTAAATTTTAAAAGTTTGAGTAGCACTACCATTTTTCATTTTCCGACGAATGGGGCCCATTTGTTATTTTCCTTCCTAAAAACCATTCTCACCCTCGTATATATTAATTAACCCTCCTTTTCCTTGCAAACATTCATCCTAAAAAACCAAATCTTTGTGAAAACCAAATCGTTTTTCCTTCTTTGATTGGCGATTTTCACAAAAAATTGGTTTTTTGGATTGAATTTTTGCAAAGAAGAGGAAGGTTGGTTAATATACAAGTGGGTGATGATGTTTTTTGGAGGAAAAATAACAAATGGGGCCCATTTGCCAGATTTAGTTGCTGGAAAATGAAAAAGGATAGTGCTATCCAAATTTTTTAAATTTAAGAGGTAGTTTTTTATGATAAAACTTTTTAGTGGGTTGAGATTTACCCTCATTATAGTGGCTACATTTTTATTGTGGCTATTGAATAATCCCCAAAATTGGATTATTCAAAAATAATTTAAAATTGTAATTATTTAAAAAAAAGTCAGTAAAAATTAGGATTGTTAAAACCGATTTTTCCTTATAAAAATGAGCATCACCATTCAATTTAATTAACTTGTTCATATATAATAATATAAACAAGTAAAATAACACAATATTTATTTTTTATTTTTTTGAAAAAATCCCGGCCATGACATTAATTAAAGAAGGTCAATCTCCGCCAAAGTAAGAAGGCTTTGGGGAAAGGACCTAGACAAATGTATTCGTTACAATCACGAGAGTCCCACCTCGCAACAAGGTGAGCTAAAGAGTTACTAGACCGCCTAACATGAGAACAAGAAAACGCATTAAAAGCACTAGAAAGATAGCTAACATCATCTACAATCATACTAAAAGGATCATAACCACAAAGCTTCTTCTTCACTGTTGTAATCACGTTGAGAGCATCGCTTTCAAGCTGGACATTAGAGAATCCCAGCCTCGCAGCCACCTGAAGACCGAACCTGCAAACAGCCACTTCCGCAAGCTCAGGCTTCCACCCTACATTCTCCCTGCGCACCGCTACCACCAGGATGCTGCCCTGTTCGTCTCTGATAATAACTCCAAGCCCAGTTGTGCCACCAATATGTGCATCACAGTTAATTTTAACAAAAACAGCATTCGGGCAAGACCAATTAGAAGCAGATCGGGGGGATTAATACCAGGCCCTTTGAAGACCTTTGCAACATACTCACCATACTCAACAACAAACTTTGACATACTTGAAGCAATCTGGACAGAACATACATTTGCTTGCTCGAAAATGATCTTGTTGATTGCGGCACCACCAAGCAGCCCACGCAAGAGTGGCCATAATTTATGAATCCTTCCTCGAAACCTTTGAAGCTAACCACAGAAAGCGTGAAGCAAAGTCAGAGCAGGATGCCTGTGCAACCACATCACTAAACAGACTCGCATTCCATATTTCCTCAGCCTTAGTGCAACCGAAGGTGGCATGAATAGTCGACTCCTTACCCCTACCAAAAATAGAGCAGATTTTGTCAGGAACTAAGTGACGATAATGTAGGCGTTCCCTCACAGCAAGAAAACCTTTGCAAGCTCACCAAAGAAAATGGCTAAGCTTAGGTGGGCAACTAAGGCTCCACACAATTCTCCAGCATTCATCCAGCTGCTGCGTCACATAGGTAGACGGACCAAGCGAACCAAGCCAATACCCAGACTTAACACTATATTCACCCGATTTTGAAGGCCACCGAAACATACTGTCTTGAGTACTCCAGACAGAGAGGGGACTTGACAGGATAAGTGCTTGGTCATCAACAGCACAAAAGTTTTCTGTTATAACATCCACACGCCAAGATTTTGAGTTATGGTCAATTACATCACACACAAACCAGTTCAAATTACAATTCGGCATCGGGGTAGGGACCAAAACTGATGAGTTCCCAGGCATCCACGCACTACTCTATACTTTCACCTTACAACCATTCCCAATCCTCCATTTCAATCCATCGAGAAGAAGGGATTTAGCCCCCCTAATACTACGCCAAGTATAACTTGGATCATAGCTCCGATGCGCCTCCAAGATATCACAGTGTTTAAAATATTTAGCTTTAAAGATTGAATGAAGGAGAGTACCTTGAAGATGATGAAGCCGCCAACATTGTTTAGCCAACAATTCTTGGTTAAAAACACGTAGATCACGAACCTCCATACCACCAAACTTCTTCGGCTTACACAAGTACTCCCACTTTTGCCAATGTAGCTTTCTTATAGAATCCGAGTAGCCCCACCAAAATCGAGCCAACATCAAATGAATGTCATCTATATGACCATCCAGAATTTTGAAAATACTCATCATGTAGATAGGTATAGCCTGTGCCACTGCTTTAAGAAGAATCTCCCTACCCAGCATTGAGAGGAGCTTTTTCCTTCCAACCCTGTAATTTCTTCCAGATACGCTCTTTTAGCCCTGCAAAAATTGCCTTTCTCGATCTACTAATGATAGTCAGTAACCCAAGATACTTCTCATATCTATCCACCTCTCGAACACCCAATGTATCAATAATTTCCTGTCGACGATTCATACTCACCTTTTTACTAAAAGTCACTTCTGTCTTACTCAGATTGACATTTTGACCCGATGCGAAACTCATATTTTCTAATTATATTAGCTGTCACAGAGCATTCTCGAACATTTTCCCTAGAAAAAAGGATACTATCATCAGCAAAGAAAAGATGAGAAACACGGGGAGCACCTCTACACACATGCACTAACACCGTGAATAAGATTATTTTCCGCCGCCGTACCAATCAGAGTTGAAAAAGCATCCGCACACAACAAGAAAAGATAAGGAGATATGGGATCACCCTGTCGGAGACCCCTAGTAGGAGTCACAGAACCTGAAATCTGCCCATTTATTTTAAAAGCAAAATTTACACTACTCAGGCAACTCATAACTCTACCAATCTAGGAAGAAGAAAATCTCATTCTTTCCATCACCTTCTTTAAAAAGCTCCACTCCACTCTATCATAGGCCTTACTCATATCCAAGTACAAAGCAAAACTACCCTCCTTTCCTTTCCCACTTCTCTTCATAGCATGGAAGATCTCAAAAGCCACCAAAGCATTATCAGAAATAAGACGTTTTGGAACAAAGGCACTCCGATTTTGAGATATAATCCCATTAAAAAAAAACCCTTTAATTTATTGGCCATTGTTTCACTGATAATTTTATAAATGACATTACAACAGCTAATAGGCCTATACTAAAAAATGAGGGTCGGATCATTACAGTACATTTAAGGATAAGAACAATGCAAGTATTATTAATATCATGTAACTCCACTTCTCCCCTCCACCACTTCTTCACATAAGACCCGACATCAGGACCAATAATATGCCAGAAAGATTGAAAAAATAGAGCATGCATACCATCAGGGCCCGGAGCCTTATTTGGATGCATTTGGAAAAGGGCAAACACAATATTCATTTAAAATTATGTCATGTTCATATTCAACAATATAATTATATTAATGAGAACTATATAGATAATCATACAAAAAAACTCCCTTGAAAGAAAGGGCTCTCTCTCTCTCTTGCAAAAAAGTCGCTCGATAGTTTTCTCCGGTTTCCGGTGAGTTTTCAATCGGCTTTGCTATTTTTTCACGCTATGGCGGAGGAGATTACTGAACTGTGCTCTCACCTTCGCATTGAGGAGGATGAGAAAACTGCTATTGACCTAGGCGCAATTGAATGCGATGATGACAAAAACAACCTAGCCCTAATGCTCTTGGGCAAATTGTTGACTGAACGATCGTATAATGTTAAGGCATTTAAGAAAACGATTACTAGAGTTTGGGCGCCTACTCATGGGATTACAATTAGGGTTCTAAAATCTAATTTATATGCTTTCCAATTCTTTCATTGGAAAGACATGGAGAAGGTATTGAAGGGTCGCCCATGGTGTTTTGACAATATGTTAGTGTTGTTGAATGAAATTGAAGGAAGAAAACAACCGGAAGAGGTGGAATTTAAGAATTTGCCAATCTGGGTGCGAATAAAGAACCTCTCCTTTAATTGCAGATTGGATGCACATGTGAGGGCTTTGATTGAAGGTATGGGGGAGATTCTTGAAATTGAAGAAGATGAATTGGGGAAAGGAAGATATCGCAGGGTTCGGGTTATGCTTGACACCACCCAACCCCTGTGACGTTACCAGACTATCAAGGATCAAAAGGGGAGAGAATTGCGGGTCGACTTTACCTATGAGAGGCTGCCCTTCTTCTGTTTTGCTTGCGGCATCATGGGGCACTCAGAAAGATCTTGCCAGCCACAGGGTGTCGGAGGATGACAAATAATCAAACTTGGGGTGGGGTGCTTAGCTCAAAGCCATACCGAGGAAGGGTCGAACTAAGGAGGTTAAAGACATGGAGAAATTGAAGGCTGCCAAGTCCCTTTCATTTGTGACTAAGCGCTCTGAGGAGAAACAATTAAATGAGATCTCATACCTGACTATTAAAGAACCCCAATCTTCCCTTAACCATGATCAAATGGTGACTCTTCTTGAGGTTCTTGTGATCTAACATGCGGTGCAAGGACAAGGGGAGCTTTTCTTTTTCAATGCAGGGTTGGGAGAGGATTCCTCTCCTCTACTAGGTAATGATGACCAGCTCATGTTGGAGAAACAAGGTGTGCGTAGGTGGAGAAGGTTACCTCGGAATGATAGCAACTCTAGTACCAATAAGAATGCGTCTTTCACTTCTCTGAACACTCCTTGGAAGATGGTGACTCAGAACCTTTGAAGGAGGTTGAACTGGAAAAAATCATTAAAACTGACACTCTCATTATGGACACTTCTAATCCGGCAGTGGTTGGCTCTAACCAACCCTGCCTCTCCTCATGAATGTACTATGTTGGAACTGCCAGGGATTGGGCAACTACCGGTCAGTTCGACAGCTCCGAAAATGGAGTAATCATCTTGCCCCCGACATGATCTTTGTGTCGGAAACTATGATAAATAAAACGGAAGTAGAAAATTTAAGGGAGCGTATAGGCATGTCGAATGCTTTTGGTATTTCAAGCAAGGGGAAATCTGGCGGTATTTGTCTTTTTTGGAAGAAGGATGTTATCTTTAATCTAGTTTTGTATTCCCACAATCACTTATGTGGGGATATCACTACTTCTATGGGGAAATAGAGGTTTGCGGGTGCGTATGGGTGGCCGAAGGAGGATGAAAAGCACAAGACTTGGAGTCTGATTAGACATCTCTATGAAGAGTCTCCTTTCTCGATTCTTTTGGGTGGTGATTTTAATGAGTTTTTGCACTATGATGAGGTTGAAGGAGGGGAAGCAAGGGTGAGGAGAGAAATAGCAAAGTTTCGTGAGGTGCTAGATGATTGTAGACTTCGTGATTTGAAGTTTGAAGGGAGCTGGTACACATGGGAAAGGGGCAACACTGTTGACACTCGATTACAGGAGCGCATAAACTATTTCCCTCTCATTATGTTGAGCACCGGCTAAGATACAAATCGGATTACACGGCAATTATGCTTAGGCAAAGAGATCCCTGCAATCATAAGAAGAAGAGGCCAAGAAGTTTCAAGTTCGAAACCAATTGGCTACTTGATGATACATGTGAGTCAACTGTAAAACAAGCGTGGGCCGAGTCAATGGGTGTGCCTATGGTGGAGAGAATTGCCACAGTTGCAAGAGGGTTAGGAGAGTGGAGCAATATTATACACTTCAGAAGCTGGGAGAACAAATCGCTAATACAGAAAAATCCCTTCTTGAAGCGCAGCAAAGGATGGTTTCGAACAGGAGTATTGAAACTTTCTCTAAACTGGAGAAGAAACTTGATAACCTGAATGAAAAGCTCGAGGCCCACTGGTACATTCGTAGTAGGGTCGCAAAGGTTAGGGACGGGGACAAGAACACCAAATATTTTCATCATAGGGCTTCTCAGCGGAAGGAGAGAAATTTCATTCGTGGAATGCTTGATAATGAGGACGAATGGCAAACCGACGATGACAAAATTGAAAGCATCATTATGCACCACTTTGAGGGCCTGTTCTCATCTTCCGACCCCTAAGACATCACCATGGAATAAGTTCTCTAGAATATCAGTCCTTGCATCTCTACGGATGTTAATGCCGAGCTTACCAGGCCTTTCACAAAGGAGGAAGTTCTCACGGCCTTAAAACATATGCACCCCTACAAGGCGCCTGGTCCTGACGGTATGCATGCTATATTTTATCAGCGTTTCTGGCATATTGTTGGCACTAATGTGTATGCTTTTGTTAGTAGCATTTTGCATGGTCTTACTTCCCCGAGTCGTGTAAATAATACTAACATTTTGTTGATCCCAAAAGTGAAGAGTCCTTGTAGCACTTCTGAATATCGCCCCATTGCCCTCTGTAATGTTCTGTACAAGCTCGTGTCAAAATGCATTGTTATTAGACTTAAATCTGTCCTACCTGATATTGTCTCCGAAAATCAGAGTGCCTTCGTTCCTGGTCGTTTGATTACTGATAATGCCTTGATTGCTCTTGAAATTTTTCATACCATGAAGTATAGGTGTAAAGGGAAGAAGGGTTTTATGGCTTTGAAACTCGATATGAGTAAAGCCTACGACAGAGTTGAGTGGGGATTTCTACGAAAGATGCTTTTGACTATGGGGTTTGATGGTAGATAGGTGAATCTCATTATGGACTGTGTGTCTTCAGTTTCGTACTCTTTTGTTATTAATGGTGGTGTTTGTGGTCCGGTACTACCATCTAGGGGACTCCGACAAGGGGATCCTCTTTCCCCGTACTTATGTATTCTTGTTGCAGATGTTTTCTCTAGAATGCTTCAAAATAAAGTGCGGATGAAGCAGTTACATGGGGCAAAGGCTAGTCGTAATGGACCTGAAATCTCTCATCTTTTATTTGCTGATGATAGCTTACTTTTTACCCGAGCCAACCGACAAGAATGCTCAGTTGTAGTTGATATACTCAACCAGTATGAAAAAGCATCCGGACAGAAAATTAATAATGAAAAATCGGAGGTCTCATTCATTAAAGGGGTAAGCGCCGAGCAAAGAGAAGATTTGATAGCATTCTAAATATGCGACAAGTTGACAGACATGAGAAGTATTTGGGTATTCCTACCATCGTCAGAAGATCCAAGAAAGCAATTTTTGAGGCGGTGGTTGATAGGGTCTGGAAGAAATTACAGGACTGGAAGGAAAAACTTCTTTTGAGAGTAGGCAAGGAAGTACTCCTGAAATCTGTTATCCAATCCGTTCCGACTTACTTAATGGGTGTTATAAATTCCCAAAAGATACTATTCAGCATATACAATCGGCTATGGCACGTTTTTTAGTGGGGATCGGACGGTTTTAAAAGGAAAATTCACTGGAAAAGTTGGGAGTCATTGTGTATGCTTAAGTGTCTCGGAGGTATGGGGTTTAGAGACTTGTCTGTATTTAATGATGCATTGCTAGGTCGACAGGCGTGGCACCTTGTGAAGGCTCTACCTCTCTCTTGGGTCGCGTTTTCAAGGATAAATACTATCCTCACAGTGAGTTTCTTGATTCCTTACTTGGTTATGCTGGTAGTTTCTCTTGGAGGGGTATTTGGTCTGCCAAAGCACTCATTAAAGAAAGGATCGGATAATCTGGAAAATTGGTGATGGGTCGAAGGTTAATTTGTGGCGTGAGCCTTGGGTTGCTGATGATTTAGGGAGATTTCTACAGAGTGCTGAGGTTCCTAACTTGGAGCTTGTCAGTGACATTATTGATTTAGCGAAGTTTGAGTGGAACCATGAGATCATTGAAAATAATTTTGATGAGAGGGATGCTCGCTGCATTCTTTCCATCCCTCTCAGCGAGACGGATAAATGTGATGAGCTCACTTGGGCCTTCTCTAAGGGAGGAGAGTACTCTGTAAAAACCGCTTACCTTCTCGGTAAGGGGTGTGATCTTGACATGTTTCACCATGCTTGGGTCGAGATATGGAAGGCAAATGTTTCACCCAAGATTTGGCACTTCTTTTGGAGAATCTGTACGGGTACTCTTGCTGTCCGAAGTCTCTTGAAGCATCGACATATGATAAAGGATGCAGCTTGCCCTTGGTGTCATTCATCGGAGGAGACCATCTAGCATGCCTTTGTGGATTGTGTGAGAGTGCAGGACTTGTGGGATGAATGTCTTTGCGCTGCTACGTCAAAGTGGGAGGGGTTTTATTCGATCAGGGAGCTGATTGTAAGCTGGAAGCAACTTGATGCCTTGACCTTGCAAAGGGCCGGGGTATGACTCTTATGTGTTGTATATGAGGAGAGCACAATTTGAAGGTTTTTCAGAATAAATGCACTCCCAACAACATCATCATTGGCCGAGTTGAGAGGTATGTGGAGGAACAAGGAAGCTATGCTAAACGTATTTATGCGGCTACTGGTTTACAATCCCCCAAGAGTCCTAACAAGTGGACTGCGCCACCTACTGGGGTGGTGAAAATCAATGCGGATGCTTCCCTTTCTGATGAGGGATGGGAAGGGTAGGCCTGGGTATGGTGGGAAGAGACACTGCTGGTAGGGTGCTCTTTACGACCACTAGGAGGTATCGTGCCTACTGGTCTCCTGACATAGCGGAAGGCAATGCCTTATTATTTGCACTGCAGCTGGGCAAGAAATTCAAGCTGGATGATCTTGTTCTGGAAACCGATTGCAAACTAATTGTTGACGGCTTTTGAAGGGTGCTTTATGTTCTGCTGATTTAAAGTTCTCGGGGATATCCTTTCCTTAGGATCTAGCTTCAAGTCTGTCTTCTGGTCTCATGTAAAACGTGACGGCAATTGCGTCGCGCATGCTCTACCTAAGGTTATTACGTATAGTTCTGAGCAAATCTGGGAAAACTCTTGTCCCCATGAAATTACTCCATATGTACTTATGGACCGTTTATCATCTAATTAATATATGCTTAGCTTGTCTTCAAAAAATATATATATATATATATATATATATATATATATATATATATATATATATATATATGTATGGAATAGGATCATGTAAAAACAAGTGTTAAAGTAAAAACTGAAAACGTTTAATCTGAGCCGTTCATCAAATTGTATGGCTCATATTTCTTTCCTCTTATTTTCAGACATCTCTGAATTTCTCTCTCCTCTTTTATTTTCAGGTTATTTTCTCTCTCCTCTCTCTTCCCTCTTTTCTTTCGTACTTTCTCTCTCTTCAACCAGCTTCTCTGTTTTCTCTCTCTACTGCGTGTTTCTCTTTCTTTGTTCTCTCTCTAAATGCGGCGGATGGAGGAAGGCGGCAAGTTTTGGTGGATTCGACTTTCAGGAGAAGCGGCTAAGGTATTTTTTAGTTCGATCTGATATTTTTAATTATTTTGGTTTTTTGATATCTGGAAAATTAGGTTTTCGGTGCATGTCTGATCTGTGTTGTTGTTATGTTATTGTATATTGTGGAATTTGCTGGAACTTTGAATTGATTTTCTCATTGAATGAGAGGTAGAATCGGAAAAAGGAATTACGTTGAATGTAGTCGAATTTTGAGTAATTTGAAGTGTTTTTAGTGGATTTGTGAGTGAATTAATGACAGTTAGGAGTAGTTAATTCGAATTTTGAGTAATTTGAAGTGTTTTTAGTGGTTTTGTGAGTGAATTAGTGAGAGTTTGGAGTAGTTAATTCAAATTTTGAGTAATTTGAATTGTTTTTAGTGGATTTGTGAGTGAATCCGGGAGAGTTTGGAGTAGTTCATTCGAATTTTGAGTAATTGAAGTGTTTTTAGTGCATTTGTGACTGAATTCGGGAGAGTTTGGAGTAGTTAATTCGAATTTTGAGTAATTTGAAATGTTTTTAGTGGATTTGTGAGTGAATTAGTGAGAGTTTGGAGTAGTTAATTCGAATTTTGAGTAATTTGAAGTGTTTTTAGTGGATTTGTGAGTGAATTAGTGAGAGTTTGGAGACATAAATTAGCTCTGCTTTGTACAGAGAATGAGTACTAAGAAAAGGAAAACCTCTGCTTAGAACACGATCAACATTGAGATTCAGGAGCAGAGTTGTCTTAGAGTGAGCTTAGAGTTCTAGTGTAATATGAGGTTATCTGGATGAAAGTCTGCATTTCAAAGTACTTAATCTAAATGTATGTATTCTGTAATGGATGTAGCTAGGTGAGACCTCAAAAACCAGTATTTTCTGTTGGTATATAAGGGACAATTAAGAGGCTGGTCAGTGGAGGTATGATTTGGTTGATTCAGCTGTACTCGCTGATGTTGAACTTTGATTACTGGTCTGATTTTCTTTTCCTTTGACTGGTGGGATGCAGAGTGTGACCCCAAAGATCTCTCTAGGTGGTGAAATTTTCTGGACTGGTCAGCATTGAAAATCTGGTGTTGGTTATGCTGCTCGATACATTAATGACAAGACGGTAATTTGACTTTGATTTTCATGAATTTTTACATGTTCAGTTTTGTACCAGTCCTTGTTATATTAGTATGTTGGCCTGTTAAACTTTTGGGTCTATGTTATGAATTTATGTTTTGGTACTCTACCTTGCCTTCATACCTCTTCAGTAAAGTTCGATCCACATAAACTTAAGTCGGGATTCAGGAAGTATGTTACTCTCATATTCAGGAGTCTGCATATGATGAATTCTCAGTTAGAGTATGAATGTCCATATACTTGTATTGTCTAAGAGGTCCAACTTCCAAGTTTATGTAATGTGTTGTTCTGTTTGAATTTTGTTTTTTTTTTTGGCCAGCGTGTTTACTAAGATAGAGCTAGGACGTTGTTTTGCATCTTTGTTTTTAGCTTTACTTTTTTTATCAGATTTTTCATATCTCTTGATTACTTGAATGGTATTAAGACTTTGTATTTTGTTTGAGTACACTATCTAAATCCAGTGGAAAATGATGCATTATATACTCCAATCCATCATGCATAGTTGTACAACACTCTAAATCTAATTTTACAAGGCCTCGATTAGTCAACTTGAGCAAAATTAAATGTTCACGAATGATGATTTTATTTCACCCTTTATCGATCTTAGTTTTTTATGTGATTTTTGGCTTGTTAAAAGCCTATTAGCTCAATTGGTCGAGCACCGTGTAATCACGGGATGTAGGTTCGAATCCTACATAGACTTTTTTAATACTTATTTTTATATTTATTGACCTCTTTGTAAATGGTGTCAAATTGATATAATTACCCGAAGTTTATATACAGTTACCTTATTTTTGATATAATGACCTTAGAATTATGGAAATGTTGTAAATTTTGTTTCAGTCACCTTATTTTTATATATAGTGACCTTTATTTTTGTATATAGTGACCTTTATGTAAATGGTGTCAAAAACTTAGTCGATATAGTTACTTTATTTTTGTATATAAAGACCTTAATGTAAATGTTGTAAAAACTATTATAGTTATCCTATTTTTGTATATAGTGACCTCTATGTAAATATGGTCAAAATTGAAATAGTTACCCTATTTTTGTATATAGTGACCTTAATGTAAATATTGTAAAAATTGATATAGCTACCCTATTTATGTATATAGTTACGTTATTTTTATATATAGTGACTCTATGTAAATATCGTCAATTTAGATAAAGTTACTCTATTTTAACATGTAGTGACCTTTAAAACGTTGCGTTTGTCAAAAAAAAAAAGACCTTTAAAACGGTTGAATTGATTATATGTAAGGTTGGAATGATCTTAGGGCTTTAGAATCGTCTGATCTTTTGTGCTAGGAATGAATGGCTAAGATTGCTTGTTTTTAGTTTTCACCATAAGCTCTGTTTTTAGCAGAACCTCCCCGTATATATATATATATATATATATATATATATATATATATATATATAATTATATTAATGATATTTTTTCCAAAATTGTAGGCTTGTAGCATTACCCCGTTTTGTTTTTTTGGCTAGAATCTCAAATAGGTGGACCCGCATGGCCACGTTATACTTTTTCCACATTATACAATTTTTTACACTATTAGTTGTTTCATTTTAGACGTTCCAAATAGGCAATAAATAATTTTTTTCATTTTTTTTTTCTTTTTTTTCATAATATAATAATTTTTAAAAATATAGTCCATAGAAAAAATCAAAAACTGATCCAACCAGTTAGGTTCAGGTTTTGGACTTGCTTTATCGGTCCAAGCAAAACTTGTTCAATCTCCAATTCTTTAATTTGCAAATTTCAGTCTTGAATCCGGTCCAATTTGATCATATATAGTTCGGTGTTAAACAACCCTAGTGGGAAGGACTGAAAATTTATAGAGAAGGTATTGGGTGCGGCAAGCCGCACCAAACAATTCGTGCGTCAAGTATATATGATATGCAGTATTTGATCAGGATATGTATTATTTGATAGGGGATATGTACAACTTGTTGGAAGATATGTGTTATTTAATAGAGGATACGTACAGTTTTGTTGTAGGATATGTATTGTTTGTTATAGGATATGTAGTATTTGATAGAGGATATGTACAATTTATCTTTGTAGAGGATACTACAGTTTGTTAGAGGATATCATCATATAGCCAATAGAGGATATCGTCCAGCCTATAGATGATATCATAGACACAATTAAATATAAATGATATCATATAGCCAATAGAGGATATCGTTCAGCCTATAGATGATATCATAGACACAATTATAAATGATATCTATAGCCAATAGAGGATATCTTCCAACCTATAAATGATATCATAGAAACAATTATAAATGATAGTCAATAGAGGATATCATCCAGCCAATAAAGGATATCATAGACACAATTATAAATGATATCATGTAGCCAATAGAGGATATCATCCAGTCTATAGTTGATATCATATACACAATAGATGACATCATCTAGCTTATATCATACAACCAAAAGAGGATATCATCTAACTTATAACAGATATCATAAAAACAATAGAGGATATCATCAAAACAATAGAGGATATCATCCAACTCATAGAAGATACTCATATCATAAAAATAATAGAGGATATATTAAAAAAAAAAAAAAGAGATATTATCCATTGTATAATAATATTGTAGACACAATACATGATATCATCCAGCCTTTAGATGATATCATCTAGACAATGAATGAATAAAATTATACAAGTACATATTTTATTTAGTAATCTTTATTTTTAAAATAAACAAATACAATAATTGTCTTCCTACCATTGAAGGTCAACAATGGCGGAACCACCATTGAAGGTCCCGTACTAAGCTTATGGGTATAAGCTAACATGCTCATTTCTCAACCATTTACATCTATTTGTTATCAAACGCTCACAATTCAATATACAATCACATACGACAATCAATTTCAACAATTATACATCACACAGCCCCAAATTGATTTTTTTGGGCATTTTTCAAAATATCCGAGAATCTCAAGCAATTATCAAGCCAATTCAAGCATAACTCATGGACAAATATAATCAACAATCAATGAGTTTCTCACCGTCGACGATACCACCGCCAATAACAACGTTGTCGATGGGAGCGATCATTGGTATAAAGCAAAAACTTGCTATACTGACGAAACATTTTATCAGTACGTAATGACGCAATAGTTTGTAAAATTTATACTAATTAGTTATCATACTTTGGGTGGAGGAATGCGAGATATTAAGGTTGCACCGTGTTAATTTAAAGTAAATTTCTTAAAAGAAATATTAAACCTTGTCTTTTATTCTCTCAGTTTTTTTAAATGTTACACTTTGATTGACATATATTCTTAGATAAAATAATTAAATAGAAAGAACAAGGGATTTGAGAGGAGAAAAAAAAAGTTTTGAGTTTAGTTGAGAACCATAAGAAGTGAGAGATGTATGTAATACTTCATCTGTTTTCTTTTACTCTGTTTTGTAGCTCATTCTTATGGCACATACTTATTTTTTACGGGAAAAATAGCATGTGCCATGAGAATTAGATTATATAAGCGATAAGTTAATCAAAATGATTTGTACACAAATACCTAATCCTTTCTTATTCCCAGTGTTAAAATTATTTTGAAAAATGTATTTGTTTACTTAGGGCATGTAGTGTTCACCTAAGCTTCACTTATTTAAAGTCTTATATGTTTAGATAAGTTAAGTTAAGTTTGATTAGTGTAATTATGTTTTAATAAGAGTTACTCAAGCTCAATTGACAAATAAAGTAAGTTTTGATTAGTTTTAATAACTTCAGATTAATTAGAATATGGTAAATTGAACACACCCCTATTCTAATTACCTTTTTAAAAAGTGTCTTAAAATTGTGTTGCACATTATTAAAAAAAAAAAAAATAGAAAAACTATTAAAATATTTAGTGATTTGACAAAAGTGAAAGTGTAACACTTTTCTTTTTTTAAAAAAAAAGCAAAGGGTTGCATTAGATATTTGCATCATTTATAAAATAAAAAAACGATAGTATGACTTAACTTCAATTCAATTTAACTCGAAAGAACAAGTTCTGATGAAATATGTCTAACAAAAATCACAACAAATGGACCATATTCACCGGAGACTGACTCTAAGAGTCTTGTTCATGAACGTGTTGGATGAATACAAACAATCTTGGTAATAACGCGTACTCCTAATAATGTTAGAAGTATGGTACTATGAATTAAGGAATGGAATAGTCTTCAAAATACATCTTGTAAGGGGCGAGTCACATCAAACATTTCGTATTGTTATGTGGAATTTGTAAGAAACAAACCAATCTTGCTTATTTAGTTTACGAATATAGCCTTAGCATTATCTCAAAATAAAAGAAAATTCAAAATAACTCTATGAATCACACACACACAAATAAATAAATAAATAAATAAATAAAGGTATTGTCCAGTCAATGAATGAGTCAATAAGTCATTAAATTTTTGCTCTACTTGATTTCATTATAAAAAGTTCCTTTCCTTAGTCTCGCTCTAAGTACGTTTTAAAAGTCATTTCCAGTCACCAGCCTCTAAATTGTAAGTTCCTCAAATTATTTTGTTAAAATTTTCGAGTCATCTAACTCTCTTCTTATTGTTACATGTATAATCCATCCAATTCTCTTTTGAAGGTGTATGATGAGTTTTAATTCAGTAAATCTCTGTTACTCACTGTGAGAAACATTTTTTTTCTCACAGTGGCAGTTCCGTAAATAAAATGTACCACCATGACTAAAGTGGTACAATTTTATCATCCATTTCATAAATAAAATGTACCACCGTGATTAAAGTGGTACATTTTATTTAAGAAACTGCCACTGTGAGAAACAAAAACGTTTCTCACAGTGAGTAATGGGGACGCCCTCGTTTTAATTATAAGGTTAAACTTTTTGTTAAGTTATTACTTTGACATAATATGAAGAGCTAGCTTGAGGGATATGAACCATATAATAGAGTATAAAAAAACTAAATTATGAGCTTCAAACATTAGTTAATCTTTTAGTTAAATTGGTCCTTTCACATGTATGTTTTAATTTGGATTATTGATTGTGAGATGTTGGACAAATAGAGTAGTTTACTCTTCCAACTTTTTATTTTACGTTGTGTTTGTACTTAATTTGTTAACTGAGTACTAATGTCTCAAACCTAGCTGCAGTAATAAATAATAGCACGAAAATGAGCAAGAATGGAGGAGAAGTTTTTGGGCCAGCGGTAGGAATCGATCTCGGGACAACATACTCTTGTGTAGCTGTTTGGGAACATAATAAAGTTGAAGTCATTGTGAACGACCAAGGCAACCGTACAACACCATCTTGTGTAGCCTTCAATGAAAGCAATCGCCTCATTGGCGAGGCTGCTAAGAACCAGGCAAATCTTAATCCTACTAATACAATCTATGGTAATCTCTCTAACTCTAAGCTAGCTGCTACAAACTCTCATTATAGCATGTTGCTGCTTTGAATAGTTTTCATTTCGTTTTTTCATGTTTTGTATTGTTATGCTCTTTGATTATTACTGATATATTGTGGAAATTTTGTCACAAGGACTTTTTATTTCCACTTTTTTGTCATAATTATATTCAAGTTATATGTATCATTTCAAATCTTTCATATCTTTTGTATTAAAATAATAATTTCAATGTAATGATATCCTTTCCTCCCAAAATCAATATAATTTCTTACAACTATATATAGAAATTTAAGTAGATATTATTATTTTTACAAAAATCATAATATTTAATGAATATGAACCTTATTATAATAAAGAGTTTTGTAAAAAAAAAAATTGAATTACATGCAAATTATTGTAAATTTTTTTATAAATTTTAGTAAAATCATACATTGCACGTAGGAGTGAAAGTTCAGTTTGGGGTGTGGTTTAATTATCACCCAAGCTAAAACCAAACCATATTAGGTTTGAGATTTTTTAAACCGCACAATACCATATTTGATCCAAACCAAACCACATCACTTTTAATTTGGTTTCAAAACAAAAACCAAACCGCACCACAATTTTTTGGGCTTAATGTTTTAAGTTTTGACTTGTATCTTTTTTGGGCCTGATTCAATATAACTTGTTTTTAGCCTTATATAGTAAAGTTGAAAATCAAATTTGGGCTATAATTTGGATATGGGCCTATATTTCGGTTTGATTTTGTTCTTTCGGTTTTTTAAATGATAAAACCGAAACAAACCACAAACCACAATTTTTTAATTTCTCAAACCGCATTGAACCATATTAACAAATAAAAAACCAAACCGCATTACTAATTCGATTTGGTTTGCGGTTCGGTTCGATTTTAAGTTGTTTCACCCTAATTTGCACAAGATCTTAGCTAGTAAGGTGCTAAAAAAAATTAAAAAAAAATCCATTACGCTAATTTACAAGTAAGTTACTTCAAAAAAAAATTAAACTTAAATTAATTTTTTCATATATTACTAAATTTATACCAAATACGAAGTAATTAAATAATTCTTATTTGTAACCCTAATTCCCATGAAGGGCTACAAATATTATCTTATCACAATTTTCTATTTTTTCAATAATATTTGATCTCCGATAAACAAGTCATTCGGGTTGCATGGCAACGGGTCGGGTAATTTTTAAGTCAACAAATAATCGGGTTAAGTTCAAGTTGGGTCACTTTAAATTTTGGGTTAACAAATAATCGGGTTGGGTTTGAATCAAGTCACTTTGAGTTGGGCCATTTCGGGTCGGGTTAATTTTCAAGTCCAATTGTCAACTATGTCGAATCAAGTTTAGATCGGTTCATTTTGAGTCATGTCAATTTTCAGCTTCATTTTAATTTTTAATTGTGCATGTATGTAGATATAGAAATTTGATGAATAAAGTGGAAATCTTAGTGAATTACAAAATTACACACTACTCGTATCATGTAAGACTGTGTTACAAAAAACGTTTTTTTGTTGTTTATTTGAACAGTTAAACTTGCTAGTTGGCCACAAAAACCATGTGTATTACAGTATTAGAAGCATTATAAGTGCTATTGTTGTAATAAAATAAAAATAAAAAATAAAAACATTATAAGGTAATTATAGTTCTGGTCAATCAATTCGGGTCATCACTTCGGATATCGGATCAATTTTGGGTTGGATACAATTGTATTGGGTCATGTTCGAGTATCGAGTCACGTTCGGGTGAACTCCAGTTCGGGTAGGGTATGGATCGGGTTGGGTAAGTTTGGGTTCGGGTCAATTTTAAGTCGTGGATCGAGTCATTAATATGGTTTTTAAAATAAGCTATGGTATAGTTACAAAAATACCCGCTCCATGATCATCATTGTGATTCTGTTCCACTGTAAATCAAATTTAATAAAACTAGCATTTTGGCCCGCTTTGATGCACTTGTTGTTATTTAAGTTATTTTTATACGTAGGTATGTTATTCTATAGTTGTAACTTTTGATATAAAATACGAAGTAATTTAATTGTTTCATGACAATTAAGGCGAATGAAATTCACTGTTAAAACTTAAAAGAAAGAGAGAGTGAGGGTGGAACTGTAGAAAAAGAGGAAGGAATTTAGTTAGGTATATAGACCTGGAAATCCTGCCTCAGACTCGATGACCCGAACCGAATGACCTAACCCATGATCCTCAAATTAATTCCAATTATAAAGGTTATCAGCAAAGGAAACCCTATTTCGCTAATTTCACTAGATAATCAGATTAATTAAAACATAATAAAAACTAATGCATTCCAATTAAGGGTTTTGTTAACTTTGTGTTCAGGTTACAAATAAATTTTTTTAAAATGCAACAATTGAGTCCGTAGAAACAATTTAGACAAAGAATCAACGACTGTCGCAAGTAACGACTGCCGGAAAACAATTCCAGTCCATACCTTCAATTAAGACAAAGGAAGCAACGACTGCCGGAAAACAATTCACGGAACTACCGACGAACCAAAATTTCTTTTTAGCTCCGGCAGAAACCGCTGTCTTAGTCTCTTCGGAGCACAGTAACTACGGCAGCAACCACTGTGTTAGTCTCTTCTTCGGAGCACAGTAAATACAGCAGCAACCAGCGTCTTAGTCTCTTCTTTGGAACAGAGCACAGTAACTGCAGGGAAATGGGAGATGAATAGAGAGAGACTAATTTTGGACCTAAAATGAAACTGAAAGTAAAACCCCTGAATATAAAAAATGACAGAAACGGGCATCCGTAATAGTTCAAACAACAACGGGGTGACGTGCACCTCACCATCAGTCAAGGATTGTATATTTGGGTGTTAATGTGTTATAGTCCCGATGTATTTACAAAGCATACGGAAGGGCAAGAAGGTAAATTCGACAAGTTTATGGACATAAACTGACTCTACGGTGGTACAATATAACATACCATTACATACTATTATGCAATTATAATGTACCATTAACCTAGAAGTTGTCTTGAAAGTATTTTTTTGAGTAATATTTTTCCCTGTAGTGTTACTTACTTTCCAGCATCATATTAGTTGAATAATTACCCCTAACATAGTTCACCTGTCACTTACTAGTCATGATACGAATAACTAATTAGTAGGCAAGTGACTAATAACTAACAACTAGTAAAGTTACTAATAACTAATTAGTAGTGAAGATACTAACAACTAATTACTAGTCAAGTTACTAATACCTAAGTCACAGTACACTAGAATCTTAGTGATTTGCAAATCAAACGTTCGGATATTTACGATGACCGTATAGCACAGTTGGAAAGCATTGAATGGCAGTAACCGGGTTCAATGCCAATTTATCCCGCAACACCTACATGTATCAATACTAGATTTCTCTGTAGGGACTATATATCGCATTCCCGGAATGATGCTTTGACTCGACGTAGGTTGTTAAAACATTTTACCAAATGAAACGTGTTGTGTTTCTAGTACACTGGCTCATGTAATCAAGGGTACCACTATGACAACTTTGGTAGCGGGTTCAATGCCAATTTATCCCGCAACACCTACATGTATCAATACTAGATTTCACTGTAGTGACTATATATCGCATTCCCGGAATGATGTCTTTGACTCGACTTAGGTTGTTAAACCATTTTACCAATCAAACTGTCATGTTTCAAGTACACCAGGTCATGTGATCAAGGGTACCACTATGACAACTTTGGTACCACTAAAGTCAGGTACGACTAGTTATGAATAACAAATTAGTAGTCAAGTGACAAATAACTATTTAGTAGTCAATTTACTAATAACTAAGTAGTAAAGTGACTAATAACTAGTTAGTAGTCAAGTGAATAATAACTAGTTACTAGTCAAGTTACTAATAACTAATTAGTAGGCAAGTGAGTAATAACTAGTTACTAGTTAAGTTACTAATAACTAATTAGTAGGCAAGTGACCAACAACTAATTAGTAGTCAAGTTACTAATACCTAATTATGACTAGTTACTAGTCAAGTTACTGATAACTAAGTGACAGTACTCTAGAATATTCGTGATTTGCAAATCAAAACGTTCGGATATATGACCATAGAGCACAGTTGGAAACTATTCAAGAGGCAATGAGCGGGTGCAATAGTAGAGTTCTCTTTGGTGACTATGTATCACAGTCCTGGAATTCTGTGTTTGACTCGACACAGGTGGTCACAGGTGTCAAGTTTCAAGTACAGCGTGTCATGTGATCAACGGTACCACTAAGACAACTTTGGTACCACCCACCTTTTGGTGGTACAAATCTTGTCATACAATGAACCACTGAAAAATGAAATGGTTTATACCTCTTCAGGGTGGTACGAATACCTGCGTCGTACATCACCCTATTCACTTGTCACTTATTATCCATTTAGTGGTAATAATTTCCATGATATATTTGGTATATGGACTCTAGATCGAGCGAAAATACAAGAGATTTAGAAGGAGTATGAAGAGAAAAAGGGACGGATGAGACAGAAATGGTCGAGAAGGGACGTGGTTAAGTGATGAGAATGAGAGAGAAAGGGTTGTGGTGAAGTGACGTGATGGATGTTCCAACACTAATGTCAAGCTTGCATGCCACTTTAATGTTGGGAATATGCATCCATCCCAAGTTCCACATGGAAGAAACAAGGAGGAGGATAACTCCTTATTAATGAGATGTTCACTATACTAGGATGAGGCTTTTTCGGTAACCCAAAAATAAATCCGTGCGGGCTTAGCCGACCTTAAGCGGACAATATCATACTAGTGGGTGTGTGAACGTGTGCGGAGCCCCTAACATCTAAAATACCGTTGTGTTTATTTGAAATTGCTCATGGACATACAATTAATTTGTTTAGCGTCACATAATTGTTTTGAAAACATAATTGGGTATTAACAACACTTCAACGAACAAACACCAACAAATATATTATATTATATAATCGAACTGCTTAACACCAAATAAGCCACAACATGTACCCATACAGATCATTACATCAAGGATCATAGTCAAAACATAATTAAACCATACGCAAAGGATCATTACACATCCTATAAAAGGGAAGTTGATATTCGTTCACAGACACATACACGTAAGGGTTCCACATGCCCTATTTGTCTGTGAAGCAAAATATTTCATCGCCATTCCTCATGGCCGCACCCTTAACATCCATTAATGACGAGACCTCCTTGTTCTCGTGAATCATAAGGATTTTACTTGGGCACACATTCACCTCCTCACTCCAAGCTCGAAACAGGCCGTCCAGAGAATCAACCAGCTTGACTAATACCTTCTTCCTAACTGCACGTGTTCGAGGCTCTCGGAGATATACTAGCTTCTTACGAACATCCATGTTGGCCTCAGGTTCCTACGTGAAAACGAAATTCAGCTTCACAATGTAACTAAGTTTAAACACGACTGTAATAATACCGAAGTTCAGCTAAAACGTATTTTAATTTACGGGTTAAATTAGTAGTGTTAAAACACAAATTAAACGAAATGAATAACTGTATAAAGTATAAGTGTAATACTCCGAAACAGGCCACTGTACTTATTCCATTATACGAATATGTCGTACTTAAATTGAACGACATTAACAGCAAACGTTAGTCACAATGACAATTTCACTAAAATTTAACATACAATCAACGTTTTATTTTGTTTGGACGACCTAATTTCAACACGAATGAAATAACACTAATGTTACTAACTATATTTTGTGGACATAAAATTCATCAAATTTCATCAGAAAACATTTTTCTCCATTAACCGTAAACATTGACTTTCGTTGTACAGAACGGAGGGTGTTAATTCTGGAAGTGCCCCCAAACAACAACTAATTTACCATGTGTCCAAACTCAATTAACAACTACGAATTCTACAGATCTAACAAAAATAATAAAATTAAACCAACTACAATTATAACTTATTTAGTAACTACACTAAATCTAAATTAACAGCTACTATTTAACCAAAATACCAACACATAAACAACCTCAATTAAAAATTAATGACAGACTTCTTACTACGGAAGGATAAGAACCGAACCTTGCTCCGAACCCATAGGACAGCCCCATTCACAATACCACCCAACATTGGACTGTTATTACAGAGAACGATGCCGCGAGCGTTCACGATAGTAATATCATTCGAGTGACAGTCTACCCTCCTAGAATAGTCATAGTAAACATTCTTGAATGATTCATTGATCTTGAGTTTATACTCGAGGCCGGGATCATCGTCGTTTAGGCTCTGAACCCTGAATGAGATCTTTGGAAATAAGTTGTCGGGAGTTGATGACCAACCCTTGCTTGCTTAGCTGTAGACCGACGATTCGCAGCAGGCTGTACAGGCCCTGGCATTGCAGTGGCAGGTGCCAGGACAACCACATCATCAACATCATCATCTTCTTCCCGAACGGGGTCGTCACCTGGAATGTCAATAACTTGCTGAACAGCAACACCTTCACAGCAAGGCCCTTATTTTCCTCAACAGGAGCAACGACCTCCGTGTGCTCCTCAGCAGCTACATCCTTGTACTCCTCAGCGGCAAAATGCTTGTCCTCACCATTCAATTTCTTGGTTTTCTGGGTTTACTCGGAAACAACATCTTTAGAACCAACCTTGGGCAATGTAGAAGAGCGGCCTCTTCTTTGCATCGTTAGATCAAGTAGAGGATCTTCGACGATCGAAGCAACATATGACTGGCACACTCCATGGCGTCCTTTTGGACCGGCGCCCCTGACGCCACACGCTAGATCCTCTAGTAGGCTGCGACGGCGGAACGTGGTCTTCCTTTTCCTCAACGGCGGAGAGGTTTTGGAAAGGATCGGACTATGGTGGTGGTTGGGGTTTGGAGGTGTGGAGGAACTCATTTGGATTGAATATCTTTGTGTGGGTAAGACAGTTGAACAAGTTCTTTGCCAATTATGGTTTTGTGAAAGGAATGTAGTGGTTGTGGGTGTGATATTTATCTAATTTGTCCGGCATTGGAATACGGGTCGTTGCAAACCGGTTGCGGTGTGAAACGGTTTATTTTGGGACATTTTCAGGTCTGGTTAAATGATTATTAGTCCGATTTGGTTTTTGTTTATTATTTAGTGGTTTTAATAATATTTTGGTTGCAGACGATCCGGGTAATAAACAGTTTATTGGTCAAATTATTAATCAGTTTTAGTTAAGTTGAGGGTGTTTCTCCACTGAAATTGTTCTTGTTTTTGTGTGTATTGGTTACAACGAATTTCGTATCTGGGTCCCATTCAGATTTCAACAATGCAAAAGGGTTCGGGTTGTGCTCGAATAACAACCCTCACTACTACATTTTTGATCAAATACAACGCCAAAAAATGAGCTATTGCAACGCCCTATCCAAATGCCGTGGCAATAGATAGCCTATTGCAACGGTATTTTTATTGCCGTTGCAATAGAGTAGGCTATTGCCAATTAATGCTCTTAGAGGTAGAGCTATTGCCACGGCTCTAAAGAACCGTTGTAATAGCCTAGCTATTTTAACAAAAATGAAAGCTAATGCCACGGTAGTGTTATATCATGAAAATTTTAGATAATGCGCGCATTGTTCCCTCTAATTTTTTCACCCAAATTTTGAACAACACGTGATGTTTACTTTTCTCACCCATTTTCTCCACTCATTCTCACAGAGTCACAGTACCCATTCTCACCCAATTTCTCCAATTTCTTAATTTCCCCCAATTCTCCATTTTCTCAATTTCCCCCATCATCTCACATTCAACTCTAGAAATTCTGAGGTGAAAATCACGAAAAACAATCGTTCAAAAATTCGAAGAGGAAAATAAGCAAATGATTACGAGGAAGTAGTAGACGAAGGCGGCAGTCAGGATCGGAGGTGGTGGCTGATAGCGGCAGTCAAGCGGTGGTGGCTGATAGCGGTACAGACGGTCTCAATTTCATTGTTGCATGTTGCTTCCTTGAGCTGATTGCTCGAAATTCTCTTTAAGGTAAACAACGAATTTTCGTTTTTGAGAATTATATTTGAAGTTTTTGCTTTTGTGTTTGGGAATTTGTATTTGATGCCATGGAAGATGATGTTTATGCTTTGGTAAATCTTGGAATTAAACGGCTAATGGGTTTCGTATAGCAAAATTGAGATTTTTATTTTTTTATTTTTGAAACCTAGAAGTACTGAATATTGTATTTGAGTAGTCTAATGGGGTTTTTTGGGAGGAATTTCATATAAATGGATAAGAAGATATACTGATTTGGGGTGGCTGATTTGGTTCATGGGGTAAGACTTTAGTGATCCAAGTTTCTAACTATTTATTTTTGATAATTGGTGGCCGAAATTTGTTTTTTCATAATTGCATGTGTATACAACTCAATCTGTTAACCAATCTAGATCAAAACATCCCTTGATTGAACAAGCTGGCATATCCTAGGAGGTTAGAGTTTTTAGATTTCAGCCTGATTTTGCAATTCTGATTTTTGCCAAGCTTTGGAATAGTTTGATATTGTGTTATTGGTTTTAGCTCTTAAATTAGTTGTTGCTACACCTCTATACTTGTACGTATTGATGTTTTCTCTGTTCTGTAAATTCATATGATCTGGTAATATTTTTGCTCTACAGTTGTAGTATCATATCTTGTCCTGTCATTTAACTGTCTCTGATTACACTAATCAATGCATTGCTAAGGTGGGTGGTGAATGAACTATATGAACTTCTATTTTCTGTTCATTTTGTTTGAAGCTTGTCAGATTGGCTTTATCTTTTCTACATAACTGCATTACGTCTGAATTCCTTTTATATTCATTCTCATATTTTCTAATATGTTGTTGGCATGTCTCTATCTCTGGAACCAGACCAGGCAACGTTGGGTAGATAATAAAAATCAAAGTAATAAAGGGCAGCAAGTTCGTGCTCCAAAATTAAGATTGGTTGACTATATTATTTTGAATCTGTTCAAATTACTAGCTCTTCATTTGCAAATAGTATGGTAATTTGTTCTGGTTTTTGTTGATGTATCTGAGTAATTGATTATGTTTCCCGTCCTAAGTTAGTGATGGTGTGCCTATTCTACATTTGTTGAATTTTAAAGGGTAAACAACGAATTTTCGTTTTTGAGAATTAAATTTGAAGTTTTTGCTTTTGTGTTTAGTTGAAAATTGATTTGGGGTGGATGATTTGGTTCATTCATGGGGTAAGACTTTAGAGATCCAAGTTTATTACTTTTTTCTAATTGCTATAGCCATTGTTCAAGCTCATGTGCATGCTTGACCTAAACGAACAAAAGAATGTAATCAAGCTAATTAATCCACTTTGATTTCTCTTTTCTTGGACAGTAAGGAACTCTGATTTAATATTAATAGGTTGCATAATGACGCTATATTTAATTAATTAGATGACAAAATAGCATGATAAATTGTGTTTTTACAGGATTTATTAATTTGTTTATTTTGGTTGAGTTTGAATCAATTTCCTTGGATCCACACAACTAAACTTACTCCGTAAATATACTGAGTATATAGACTTTCTTGTATAAATCAGATTTAAATAACAGGGTTTATACGCTGTACATGTCTTTTGGTCTTGTCCCTTAGTTGTAGCCAATTAAATTACCCAGTGGAGGAAGGGCATATCATGTATATGATAGTGGGTTTTGGAGGGTTTAAGGAAAAGAAAAAGATAAGATTATTTTGGCTCCAAATGTTGTGTTTCAGTCTATTTTATTAAGTCATGCATAAATATATAGCATTAATTTTTTCAATTCAGAGTAAGAGAAGCATTATTAAGTTGGCAATAAACCGCAGAGGCCATCAGATCAACTTACTAGAAATTCAGTAAATGCACAAATGGAAAATACATACAATTTTTTTTTTTTTAAGAAAGGAACTAAATGGAAAGGATCTAGGCATTATTCTAAGTGGTCGTACGAATTGAATGTCATTTACTCAATACACTATGTAGCATTTGAACTGTAAGTGTTCAATTAATTAAGTTGGCTTTTTGACTTGTCAAGCATCATGCCAGTGGAGTCAATCTCTGAGTTTGTTTGGGATTGTTTGAACTATTTTGTTGTGGAGTCCATCTTTGATTTTGTTTGGGATTAATTGAACTATTTTGTTATAACGAATGCAAGTAAATGATTTTGAATGACCCTTAATCACATAGTAGTTACTTCCCAATTAATAATACTATTGAAAGCATATGCAATCATTCAAATCATATGCCTATGCATTTTAAAAATAAAATAAACAAAACACAAAAAATTAAATTAAAAAAAAAAACCCTGTTTTTTCCAAGCATAGACTCTCAGGATTTGTAGTGAATCCAACATACCCAAATCAGAAGGTAGCTCTTTCAGGCTATGACAATTAGTGATGCTCAGAGGCACTAGTGTGTTGTTCTATATGGCTCATTAACTAGTTGCTTTGGGCATTCGTATGGCTATGGATGCTCCTGTTTCTTCTGGGAAGAAAAAAAACCAGAAGATGCATGCTCATGATTCTGTAACATCTAAATGTACAAGAACTGATTTCTCTATGGTGGTGTTTAGGTTTTTTTTTTGGGTAAATCAGCACTACCTTGCAACTATGTGTAGTTTTAATGATGCTGCTAAGTATAGTCTAATGATGCATGAATCTGGTGCTTTTGATCATGTCTTTTGTCAGTCACAATCACCTAGAATACTTTTGACTACTACTTAGTTCTATTTCTTGTTGGTTATTTAGCTAGTACTTTGTTATATTCTGGGGTGCTATTTTGCTTTTCAGACTTGGAATGTTTATCTTTTGGTAATTAATGTGGCTACTGCCACTATAAATTAATAATATTTTCCTTTCTGTATAAAAAAATAAACTTCTTTGCTGCCATCTTTTAAACAACCATCATCTGTGCGTTTTGAACTTTTCTCATGTTGATTGTGGCCTTGGTCTATTATAATTTATAATTTAGTTCAATTATATTTCTATTATTTTTTTCAATTTTACGTGTAGGTGCATGGGGAATTAAATGGAGTGGAAGTATAGTGACTAGTCATCTAACAAATGGTGCATATATATTGGCGACTCTTATTCAAGTTCCGGCTTTGTGAAGATTTGGAAATTTCGGCTTATATATATGTTGACAATTTGTATTTTGGACGATTAAATTAATTATCTAACTTTTATTTATTATTAGTAGGGTATGTCATACCAAAAACAAGCAATTAATATTTTGTAATGTACGTATTTCACATTATAATTATTATATATAAATGATACTTTAATTTGTTTCTGTTAGTATATTTAGATTTGTAATGACTAATAATACATATTTTATATTACCATTCCATCCTAACAAAAAAAAAAGAAAAAAAAAACCAATGATTAATCCGTTGCAGTAGATACGTACTCCTATCATTGTATTAATTAGCTTCATCCGTTGCAATAGGTTTAATTTCATCATAATTATTAGTCAGTACTCTATTGCCACGGATAAGTTATGCCGTTGCAACAGGTATTGGTCTATTGCCACGGATCAGTGGTGCCGTGGCATTAGGTGTCATAAGCTGTTGCATTAGACCTACTGCAACGCCAGCAGATGCCACGGTACATGGCCGTTGCATTAGGCCTAATGCCACGGATTTTGATGCATAATGCAACGGATTTGGGGGTTGCAATAGATAAAAAATGTAGTAGTGCCTTACGTACGACCTAACACATACACATATTATGGTACAAACATAAATAACAACTTAAATTACCATTGTACATTTTATTAACCGACTCAAATTACCATCGTATTCTAGCACCAGTTATACATATACCTCATAATCGCAAATTTGTAAAACGAACATATATATGTTGGGAATATGCATCCATCCCAAGTCCCACATGGAAGAAATAAGGAGGAGGATAACTCCTTATTAATGAGATGTTCACTATACTAGTATGAGGCCTTTTGGGTTGTGCCCAAAAACAAATTCGTGCGGGCATAACCGGCCCAAAGCGGACAATATCATACTAGTGGGTGTGTGAACGTGTGTGGCGCCCCTAACAATATATACAATGTAAATTCTTCTTTTGTTGAATCCTTCTAATTAAGCCCCGTCCAACAATTGTTATTCTGTCACAATTGCATTACCAACAATGCAGATACGATTTACGAATGGGTGTATGAGACATTACCAAGTATGAGTGGGGGTAGAGGGCCAATTACATGGTTTCACCATGGTAACTCACCTTAATTTACGAGACACTTTTTTGGCCAATGACAAAGCAATGCCAATATAGACATCATCGTGCTTTGATGTATGATAACTGAAGGTTAAAGCTTACACAATACGTCCAGTGGTACATCTAGTTCTGTAAGAAGGCAAATGGTTACACAGTAGTCAATTGTACCTTGGCACAATGTCCAAGACATTGTGCTGTATTTGACAAGAAAATACAATATGGAACTGACACATCAGTTTAAAAGAATTTGAAATAATGTCACCAAAAATAAATTCGCTTTCTATTCCTATCCAACTTCTGCATCCATTACCTTCCATTTATCATTATAAGAAACAATAATGGCCGGAACTTCTGTTGTGAAATATTGTATCTCACGTCACCAACCCTTACCCTACCCGGAACAACCGATATTGTATTTTCAAAAAACAGAGAGGGGGGAATCCGAATTAAACCTGAATTTAGTTAAGTATTTCAGATACTCCTACACCTTCTACAATGGGATATACCAGCCTGTGCAGTCCATTAGAGCACATCTCCTCCAGTCAATGTGCTGCCACTGATGGCATGGTGTTACAAGATGGGAGGCCGACGACGGGGCACCTTCCTCTTTTAGAGGACTTGGTGGGCTGCTATGACGAGGGAGCCTATGTCATGCTGTACTAGCTCATAGACAGGTTCTATTTCTCCCCGTCCCCTGTCACAGTATCACCTGAAATACAGGAAGCAGTTAAATTGAAGCCCAATCTTAGTACCGACTCCATAGTTGCTTACAGTTTCCCCACGAAGTGGCGCACAATATTTGTTGGCTCTTTCACGGATACCCTCCACTTCATGACGGTCGATACTAGTAACATCCACCTGAGGTTCCAGGTTGAAGGTTGTACCTTTAATCCCAGTGTTAACCATCGCTAGCCCATACGTAAACGGTACAACCGTGTTACCTATAAAGGAGAACATCTTTCGTCAGCTACCGAACAGTATGGCGTACTCGCTCGGGGGTCGCACATTCTACTTTGGAACGCCCGAGGGTGCACATGGCCCTCCTTCACGGAACACTTCGCAGCCCTGCACAATAAATTTAACCCGATGTTGTTCATCATTTTGGAAGCCCGTGTTGGAAAACATGAGGCGAGCGACCTCGTTCTTCGTAGCCTCCCTGGTGATTATGAAGCACAAATATGTGGTCCACAATCATGTCCTGGTGGAGTTATGATGTGTTGGCAACAACATATGTTAAGGGCCAATTTCTTCCACATATCGAGTGACCCGATTGGGGTGGCTGCTGATGTTTTTTTCCAGGTGATTTGTCTGATTTATAATATTGTTTGGAGTGTAAGTTATTGGGAGTTATATTATTTAGGTAACTATTTGTTGTTTCGAATTACAGGCTCCACCACCACCACCACCACGACCATCGTGGCCTCCGAAACCAGTTCATTTTAACAATGACCCATTAAGCTCGGACGAGGAGGCAAAGCCAGGTAGCTACTACTTCAACTCTGGCTTGGCTTTCGACGACTCCATCCACCACCTGGGATTTGGGAAAGACCTATGAAGAACCGGGGATCCGACACTTCAGAATGCTTTGTGTCTTTGTTGAACTAGTACTGTAGTTGAATTTCTTTTTTTCTGTTTTGATTTGCTTTGCCTTTAAATTCCGTTTAACTAAAATTTTATTCTGTCCAAGTTGCAATGTTGAGGCTTGACGTACATCTCAAAGCCCTAACTCTGATAATTGGATCAGTTTATTCTGCCTTTGAAACTAATGCAAGGCCTTTGAGAATTATAATCTCCGAATAGTAATGTCCTTTAATCTCTTACCATTGATACCAATTTGAACACTAGAAATTATTATGTGTACCGTTAAGATTTTAATGATTATCTTAGATCTTTACAAAAAAATTAATCAACGTTACCTTTGCATTGAAATATTACACAACCAACAATAGAATTAATCAAGAAACTCCGCTTCACTAGGCTAAAGTAGTCTATCCTCGATGGTCGAGGAAAATTGCCACCAAGAAAAATTGTCATTACCATCCTTTTCCAGCTCATGAATGGCAGTTTTCACATCCGGTTTTCCAACGACATCAGCAGTGTGGGGTATGTCAGCAGGAAAAATCTCACTAGCCCCATTGAGTCATTGACCATCATAAACCTGTCCAAGCAAAAAATGTCGTACAAATGTCATATTCTAAGAGATCCCAGTGCCTCGCAGTGAGACACATAATTGTATCTCACAATGACAAATTTGTAAATAAATTCAAATTTTTTAATACCACTACAGTCACGGTGGTACGACCCTCATTACATAAAAGTTCCACCAAAATCTAGGAGGTACAAAAACTTGCATTGTTAGATTTAGTTATGTCACATTCATTAAACTTGATTTCTTGTTCGTGTGTAAAGGGGTCATGTTGCGGCCCACATAACTTCATACGGGGCCATACAAGTCACTAGGGGTGAAACTAATGCGGTTTAAAACCGAACCAAACCGCAAACTAAACCGAATTAGAAATATGGTGCGATTTTTTTTCTACTATACTTCGGTGCAGTTTGAGGAATCCCAAAACTGAATTAATATGGTTTGGTTTCGGTTTTAAGATTTGAAAAAACCAAAAACCTTAATCCAAACCGAATTATGGCCGATATCCAAATTATAGCCTAGTCCAAAACTAATTTCTACCCTACATATATAAAGCCAAAAAATAATAAAACTTGTGTTTTTTTATGTCCTACAATGTCAACCAATGTAAGCGATGTTGGAGTGAACGACCAGTTAAATGGAGGAAAAAGGAAGAGGATGAAAAATTTCGGTGTGGTTTGGTTTTTTTTTTAAAAACCGAATTTAAAACGGTGTGTTTTGGTTCGGTTTCAATTATAATATTGTGCGGTGTGGTTTGAAAAATCCCAAAACCACATTAATGTGGTTTGCTTTCGGTGTGGACTATAAACCACACCGCAAACCGAACTTTCACCCCTACAAGTCACGACAAACGAAGCCAATTTTACGACGGTTCTCTGCTGATTGTCAACTTTCGTCCTCCGACTCTGTAGTGCAACCGTTGCCATTGGCCGAAAAAAGTGTACAACAAAAGTCCGAATGACTTGCTATCAATATTTCCGAACTTTGTCATTAGTCAACAATATTTGAGGCACTAGGGAAGTGTGTCATTGCATGGAGTTGTCATTGTCAACAGTTTTTGAGGCACTAAGGACGTGTTTCATTGGACATTAGTTTTCTTCTTATTAATCA